TTTCACAGAAAGTCTGTAAACTTGGTTGGACGATGTGTTTCTACTTTTGACACAATGTATAGGGCTTCATTTTCAATTTATGTAAGTTTATATCATTGTTTTAATTTTTCTAATCTGACACTAATTTTCTATTTACTATTTTTATTATGTTACATGTTAATATTTCAACTTAGATAAATTGTTGACATAAAATGTGATTAACTCGTATTTGAATCTTAATTTCAATGGTTCAATTCTTAACGTTATGTAATTTGACGATACACTTTATTTATTGCTTTGTACAAGTTTATATTCCTAATGGACATTGTTTCAATATTGTAACTTTGTATTATAGTACACTAGGTCTCACATTAGACAAAAATTGTAATGGTTTAGTTAAAGAACTGTTAGGTCAAAAATATTGTAACCTATATTTAAAGTATTTTACATTGTGATGATATTGATTATATTGATATGACGATTTATTATATAGTTAAACTGGTAATTGGATAAAGAAGAATGTTTAGGATTGTCATGGAGCATGATATTGGAAGTCATGAACACTAGGGTAGCGTTTTAAAATCGATATTGATAAGGACCAAAATGTAATGGTCGAAACGTATATTATTTAATTGATGATTTGTTTAATTCACACATAAATAAATTGTGCATCCGAAAAACAGATGTTAGCTTTAACGGGCTTGTTTTCTATTTTTACTATTGATTTAAGAAGTTACATAATAATAATAAAATAATAAATAAAACAAATTAGCAACTCCTTAAATCAATCAATAAAACAAGATTAGTGAAAAGTCAATAGGAGTCTACCTTTGGTTGTTAAAATTTCGAGTTTATTATAGTAAAAATATTATCTAACTTCGTACGTTTCGACTCCAAATTTGAGTCATTTTCAGCAATAATAACCGCAACAAAATATACAGCATATTATAAATCGTTCGCATATTATAAATATTGTTCGACCGCTATAAATGTGCACACGTATCGTAATGTATAGAAGCGTAATACTGTATTTGCGAAACTGACTTGCTTCTATTTTAATCGTGTAATTTATAATCAAAAGATAGCGATGTATTTCACTGTGAAATATTGTATAAAATAAATTTGGATTGTTGCGAGTTGCTTGGTTTTGTGAGGTGAGTTGATGGAGTTTTTGTGGTTCTATTTTTTGTTAATTTTTTTACTGTTTTAAAATTTTAGCTTGAGTTATTATTGCCACTCAACCAACTAACTGTAATGGATAACGTACTCACGATCTCACGAAATTATAGTAACCGCACATATGGAAAATTGTGGAGGTTGGGATATTGACTACGATTTATAATATGCTGTACATTTTGTTGCGGTTTTGCTGAAGATGACTCAAATTTGGAATCGAAACGTACGAAGTTAGATGATATTTTTACTACAATAATCTCGAAATTTCAACAACCAGAAGTAGACTCCTATTGCCTTTTTACTAATCTTGTTTTATTGAAGAAGTTATTAGGTGTACAACTTTGCTTCCGCCGTTTTTTTCCAAAATTCGAGGCTTTATTGTAAAAAACTGGTTATACATTTATGATGCAAAGTATTGTCCATCATCGGTCACTACTTTCTCCCATCTTTCGGGCATCATACGAATCCCGCATCGAAAAAACTGGTCATATGTTGAGGCGATCCACGAATCGATCCAATTTTTTACTTCTTCATAAGACCGGAAGTGCTGGTCAGCCAGGCCGTATGCCATTGATCGAAACAAGTGATAGGCAGAGGGAGAAACGTCTGGAAAATACGGCGGGGGGGGTAGGACTTCCCATTTCAACGTTTCCAAGTATGTCTTGACACTCTTGACCACTTTCGTAACATGGGGTCATGGGGTCGAGCATCATCATGCTGCAAAATCACTTTATCGTGTCTCTCGTTGTATTGCGGCCGTTTGTCTTTCAATGCTCGGCTCAAACGCATCAATTGCGTTCGATACCGATCGCCTGTGATTGTTTCAGTCGGTTTTAAGTGTTTTAACAGCTCATAATACACTACGCCGAGCTGG